GTCGATGGTCATCTTTTGGACAACTGTCAAGTCAGCAGTCTTCCCCATGATTGTGTAGCCTATAGAACTAGCCTTTGTAATCATCAAAATTAAACGAAATAAACATTTGAAATATATGAGTTTGTATGTAATGTATGAATATAATATACAAGTTTCACTTTTTAAATGGAATTACTGAAATACTACTTTTTCATGATATTCTAATTTTATGACCAGCACCTGTAAATCCACTGGAGGACTTGGGGATGCTCCACTACATCCAAAAACAAGTATCTCTGTCTTTTTTTTTTCATTAAAATACAAGAAATTTAGGGCCATCCAAGCTTTAAGATCATCGAGACATGTTAAAAGAGGTTTAATGGACCAAGCCTCAACACTCCTTAGAGGTACACAGATTTGGCAGTCGTCAGCATAGCAATGAAAGGAGATGCCATGATTTCTAAAAACTGAGGCCAAAGGCAGGAGGTACAGAGAAAAAAATCAAAGGCTCTAAAATTGAGCCCTGGGGAACCCCACATGACAGAGTAGCAGAAGAGGATTCAAATCCTGAAATTTTTACTGAAAATGTTCTGTTTGCCAGATAGGACCTTAACCACTCCAGGGCAGTGCCACTGATGCCTACCTGGTGCTGTAGACGCATCAACAAAATGCTGTGGTCTACTGTATCAAATGCAGCGGTTAAGTCCAGTAAAACAAGAATAACATGATCACCAGAGTCACATGCCAAGAGAATATCATTATAAACTCTCAGCAGGGCTGTTTCAGTGCTGTGAAGAGTTTTGAAACCAGACTGAAACACATCCATGATATTATGTTCATCTGGGAAGGATTTTAGCTGCACGTAAACAATTTTTTCCAAAACCTTTGACAGCAAGGGTAGCTTGGAGATGGGCCTATAATTCCCCAGCACAGTGGGATCAAGACCAGGTTTCTTTAACAGGGGGTGCACCACAGCATGTTTCAAATAAGTAGGAACTACACCAGAAAACAAACTACAGTTAAAAAGGGCAAGAACTAAGTGCCTAAAACAAGGGAAAACTTCTTTAAGAAAATGTGGTGGAAGGGCATCACATGGAGAACCAGAGGGCTTAATATGGGCAACCATAACCATGTTTGTATATTAAGTGTTCTTTTAAGCAGGAGGAATCTGGGAAATCTCTCTCTGTAAACTCAGAAAGTCATCTGTTTGCTGCGAAAAAGGCTGATTTAGGATTACTTTGGGTTGGAAACTTGGAGTTACTCCAAACTTTCTTGTGATCCTGAAAAGCTCAGAACACTGAGTGTTTCTAACCTAATGTCGTCCTGATGCATCTCAGTAATCCAGGTAAAAAATCAAAAGGAAAAATATTGTATAGGTCTTCTGGACGGGTTCTTCTCTAATGAAACGTTTCGTCTCTCCTCCAAGAGACTTCTTCAGTCTGAGAGTTTCAGGCAAAATTCAGGCTTTTGAGCCCTGTTAGATGCTGTTAAGTGCCAGGAGGACTGCGACCAGTTATACATCGGGGGAAACAA